GATGGTTGCTTTTGTTTCTTGATATTGTCTGCCAAACCAGTTTGTTGAGCGCACTGGACACCGTTCCCAGGACAGATCCATCGTGGCTCACCATACACAAACCCAGCCATGTGAACGCCGCAGCTGTTGGGTGTTTTTTCGGAGTCAACTAGAGTTTGAGACATATGCATTAGCCCAGGGCCTAAACAGTCCTTTTTCTCGCCCGTCTGTGTGTTTTCACATGAGTCAGGCTGTCTTCTGGACGCCTTCATCCTGAACAGGCCCAGGCTCCCAGTCAGGCTCAACAGGACCACCACAGCAGGAAGAACCCAGGAAAACTCATCAGCGCTGGGAAGGCAGGTGAGAAGATAGCCACCTTTTTCCCGACAGGTTTCCACTGAGATCTGCTCCAGCGTCCAGTCATGGCTGCTGTAGATCCCGCTCACGCTTCAGGCTAGAAGACATCCGAAATAGCCAATTGTCATAGAGAGGGATTCAGTTGCATCTCGCTGTCTTGCATCTTGTCCCTTTATTCGCCCATCTTGAGAATGCAGCAGATCAACCAACAACTCCACAGCAATCAAAGGTGGCATCAGCAGGAACACAACACCGTAGGCCTGGCAAAGCAAGAGCAGGAGTCGAAGGGCGATGACATCCGAAGACACGTAAAAAGGCGTCAGAGAGGACTCCATGAGCCAGACGTAGAGCAAAAACACTGGAGGAAGAGAAAAGAGGCGTTAATGGGATAATTCAGCCAAAAATGTAAATCTGCTGTTAATTTACTCACCCTCAGGCCATCCAAGATGTAGATGATTTTTTTCTTCTTCAGTAGAACAGACCGTGGTCCTTGGTGATTCATAACATGCAAGTCAGCAGCTGCCCATTTTTGAGAATTAAAAAAGCATCAAGGAACACAAAATGAATACCTGTGGCTCCTGATGATTTATTGAGGTCTTATGAAGTGAAACAATCAGTCTGTGCCAGAAACTAAACATTATTTAGAACATTATTACCTGTAATCCAGAGCCTCAGGCAAACCGGGAGATCAGATTCTTTTCCGCAAACTGGTTCTTTCGGGCAGTTCGTTTTAATGAACTGGTTCAATTCACTAGTTTGTTTACGTGATCACGCAATGACATAACGTATACGCATTTACATTATTAATGCACCCAATAGTGATGTGAAACGTGGATGTTTTACATGCCTAAAGACAGTGAATAAACGTGTCTTTATCAGCTCACTTTTTTCATAAACAATTAGAAACCATATAAACTTTCATTTGGCCCCTTCATTCAAATGCTGGCTTATCAGCGGCTCATCGTTCTCCGGTCTGAGTCGAACTGTTTTCTGTTTAGTGACTGTTGGAGGAACTGGAGCGCTGAATGAGTTCATAACAGGATCTGATACACCGGTATTTTGGCTCATTTTGAATCCAAGTGACTGTCAGGCATCCGAAAGTGAGTTTTGACTGAGTAACTTGCAGATCTGTGCTGCTCGAGCCATTAACTGTTTTCAGATGACTCAATCTAAACTAGTTCACCAAAAAGAATTAGTTAAAAAAACGAGTCGTTCGTGAAATGGACATCGCTCTGAACCGTTTGCCTGAGGCTCAGATTACAGGTAATAATGTTGTGAATAATGTTCAGTTTCTTGCACAGAACGATCGATTCGCTTCATAAGACCTGAATAGAGAAGGAGGCTCCTGTGTTCCTTGATATGTTTTTTTTTATTCTCAAAGTGCCAGTAGCCGCTGACTTGCATTTTTCGAATCACAGAGGACCACAGTTTCATCTAAAAATCTTCTTTACTGTTCCACTGAAGAAAAAGTCACCTACATCTTGGATGGCCTGAGAGTGTGTAAATTAACAGCAACTTTCCATTTTTGGGTGAACCTTTAAACTGATAAATTAAGTGGAAGATATGGGCAAAGTTTGTGGTTCTGCTTACTGGTGACAGCAAGGTCTGTAAATAACAGCAGGCAGCTGCAGCACAGACTGACCACAGTGATGGTGTGTGTGACTACAGACAAACACAGCAGCATGCTGCTCATCAGTTTGCACACACACAGACAGAGTGTAACATCCAGAACACCCTCCATCTTCACACTTACAAGAGACATAAAAAATACAGTGTCACTTGATGTTTCATTTAAGAGTTGTAGTGCACAGTCTTTGGAAGGAACCTGATGATAAATGCACAAGATCTGAAAGTCAGATGGTGTAGGACTATATTCTAGCCCCAAGAGTCGTTTATAGCCAATATGAAATCAAACTTGACCCTATTTATTTTCTTAAAACATGTTCCTGGTCTTATTATGGAAGAATATTTTATCAAAAGTAACTTGTTCCACTTCTATTACGTCTTTCCATTTTGGATGTTGTCACCAAGGACGCCAACAATTTGAATTTGGACACCCATTTTTCATGATCCAATCATTTCCCAACTGCTAAAATCAAAACTGCGTTTATTTAGTTATTTACTTTTTTTTTTTTTTGGGTCAAAGTGTTGTGAATTGCTCTGTGTCCGCTTGTCAGTGCTGAAGTTCAAGTACCTCATGCTAATAAAGCATGTAAAAATTTGACAGATTGACTATTTGACGGAAGGCACTTTGAAATAAAAATGTTTTTGGTATTTAGTTAATTAGTTATCTATCTATCTATCTATCTATTTATCTATCTGTGTGTGTAGGGTCTATTTGATTTTTTTAAAAATTGATCAAATATAAAATATTGAAAGGTGTGTAGGGACTATTTGATTTTTTTAAAAATTGATCAAATATAAAATATTGAAAGGCAGTAAGTGACATTACCAACATCTGTCGTTCAGCACTTATAGTGTTTTTTCACCATTGTTGTCAATTTGTTGATTTAAAGTCCCCATGAAATCAAAATTAAAGTTTTTTTGGGTGTTAGTATCAATCTGTTAGTCTTAAGGTTATCTATAAGGCAGTGTGCTCCAAAACAGTGACAAAATTTGCATTTAGAAGATATAAGCATTCAAAGCTTGCAGTTCGTCACTTCCGCCAAAACGGCTCAAGGATTTTTTTTTGACGTCACATCGTACTTCAGCTTCTCATCAAACTTTCTGTCCAATCAAATGCTTTCTTCCCGAGTCACATTAAAGGTTTGTTCAAAATGAACGAATCGTTCAAGAACGACCCAACACTATTACAGAGCTCAACGGCTCTAGCCCAAGCTGTGATATAAACGAACGCTATCATGTCTCACGCCTTCTGTATTTGTTATATGAGTTTTATTCGTTTTTTGGTTCAAATCCAAAATCTTATTTAATGATAATAATGATAATATAAATATATATATATAAAAGCCTTTTCAACACACTGACTTCTCAACATGAGGAAAATCAGCAGCAGTTGGTCATTTACACAGCCATGTCATAATTACAGGGCCATTGCAACCTGATTGACTCACTCACCAGAAACTACAGCTTGAAGTGATGTAAGGCTGAAAGATTAGACAGACCACAGACAGACCCGAGCTGAGGCTCTAGGAAAGAAGCCATGCTGAACATCAGCAGAGACTGATCCCTACCTGAACACACCAGCAGGCAGTCATTCAGTGTCTGGTCACTTCTCTGTCTGAGTTATCAAGTGTGTGTGTGTGTGCATTTCTCCTCCCCCTCCCCCAGTGGGACGTGTCTAAACATTACATTACATTAGGCTCAAAGCACGTGTCTGTGTAGAGCGGTGTAGAGGGAGTGTCAATGTTTGACTAGATCTCTCACACAGAAACCAGTCCATCTGCTTCCTCCACGACCACAAGTGTTCAGATGTGCGCATGCGACTTCCTAATGTAGTTCTCGTGTCGCTGATGGCACACGGCACGCTTCAGGTGAGCTTTATTTGACTGACAGCGCGCAAACTCTTGCAGAGCTCCTGCACGAACAGTCGCTTTAAATCCTGAAACAGCCTGAGCGCGTGCTGCCATCTACTGTTCATCTGAGAGAACGCAAAACAACGAAGATGTGAAACAAACTAGCAAAAGATACAATACTAAGAAAGGGAATTATCCATAAACAGTAGTAGTATAGCTTAATTAATTATTATTTACTAGTATAGCTATTATATTACTATTAGCTATAGTTTTTGTATTTTATATTTTCTGTTTTTTTCAAGTTTCCTTGTTTTGTTGTGTTTTTTTTTGTTAGCGTTTAAAAATATGTTTATATACTTTTTATTAATTTGTAATTTAGTTTTAGTGATTCAATACATAAAGTTAAACCAAACAGAAATGTGAAATGTCTGAAAGCTGGCTGAAATAAAATAGGTTTACGTTTTTTTTTCTATTTCAAGTTATAAGAATATATAAGTATATTCAGTTAAAGTTTGTTATTTCAAGTAACACTTTTAGGTTGAGTTATTTTAGTATATCAAATTAAAACTGAATGGAAATGAAAAACATTGCCTTGACAACTATAGCTGAAATAAAATACTTTTATTTATATTTTATTTCAAGGTTTTAGTGAACTATAATAACCCTGATCAAAAATGAATATTTACTTTACGTAATTAACTGGAATAGGCAGGCTATATATGAACAAGACACAAACATAATATAATATTAATAATAATATTGTACTTCAAGTCATTTATACTGTTGTCTTTGCAGTTTGTATATTGTATTGTAAACGTACACAACCAGTCAATGTGAACAAGTTTAACCATTTTAAACTATTTGTGTTACTCGTCATTATAAACCTTTTCATTTAAAGTCTTATGCTTAAATTATTGAGATTTGTTTTGTAGACACTTACAGGTGAAGTACACACACTGTGTGCTCACTTCTGTGGGATATGTGTGTGTGTGTGGTTGTACATACACACGTAGTTTTTTGGCTTAGTGTTATGTTAGAATCATTATTATACTCTTATACCTTTTGTTCTTTAATATTTTGTATTTTGTTTAGCTTTATTTTTTTGTTTTTCATTTTTTTTTCTCCTCCTCAGCCGGGCTATTCAAACCTGCAGATCGAAGTAAACAATCATTCGCGCACTTAATGCAAATAATGCGGCGTTTTACACCTCGCTCTTTTGATCTGATTTCACGCGTTTTATTTTTGTCGCTAAAAAAATTGGGATCTGCAGAATATGGCGCCCTGTCCTTATAAAAATAAGACAGGCTGCCATTTTTGTTTTCCTTTTGTCTGCAATTTTTAATAAAACTGTCTGAGAATGTGGGAGAGGCAGACACCGGGGACCCGGGCTTTCAGAAGCCACGAAACGCGTCCGTTCGCGTTATTTTGCGAGCGTTTTTAATTTGATGCTTGATCAAAGGCGACGTGCTTTAATTGAGAATGATTTCAAGGATGCAGATAGAATAAAAGAAAAAGTTGAGTAAGTTTGATCTCAGTTTATACCAAAGACTTATTTAATGCTTAAATGCCAAAATGCTTATTTGATATTTACATGTCGTTTAAAGCTGCTGGGTGCTTTTATTAGCATATGAAATGTTGTTATGCAGCCTGTTACTTCACCTCAGCGGCATTTAAATGAGGATACAGGTAGAATTCATTATAAAATGCAGCTTTACACTATTATAGCGTAAAACTGTGTTTGTAATGCACCTCTATATCAGATGAATGGACACCCAAATGGCCCTTGCATGTTTATTTTGGGACATTTACTGTGCTTGTACCATGGTATTCTGTGTATACTTTTGAGTACTATGGAAATACCATTGTACGTGGATTTCAGTGCTAATTAAGTATTAGTTAAGGACATTTTCATAGTAATTTGATATACTCCGAAGTGTATTTTGCTAGCTATTTTGCATTTTTAAAAATTCTTGTAAATCTGGTTATGCTGTATTATCACCAAATCTTGGATTCAAATTTTCTTTCAATAAGCACAGGTTTTGTCTTTCTTTTTGGAACTGATTGATCATAGGACTCATGGATGTGAGCTTATGCACCTATGCAACCTCAGTTTTTGAGTGGAAAAAAGCATTATTTGTGGATAATTTTGGCAGTGTTCACTAAAAAAACTGAGGTGCATGAGCTCAGATCATTGAGGCCTATGATAAATCAGTTTCAAAAGAAACACAAAACCTGTGCTAAGTGAAATAAAACAAGCTGATAAAAAGATTGAATCCGATATTTAGTGATAATATAGCATAATGAAATATTTATACGCAAATTTTTTTGTAGCCCAGCCATTTTTGATTGGGAACACCACAACGGCAAAAATTATTAAAATGTAAAAAAAAAAAAAAGGTGGGGGAAGTTGTTATACTCTGCGAGAGCAAAGTCAGTAGGCTTTATTCAAATGTAATAACATTAACCAGCATTTACAGGAAAAAGAAGATTCTTTCCAGGTCAAAATGACCAGAATGCAGCAGGAAAGGATTCCTTGAAGTGGTTGTATTGAACAAACAGGACAGTGACATTCATCTTTCCACACATTCAGCCTTTACCTGCTCGGTTTTGGAACTCTGCACCTTTAGAAACGTTTCCATACGGTCTGATTACTTTAGGCGTATCATTTTCTTGCATTATATCCATGATACTGTGCTATGAATGTTTTGGCAGTGCTTATGGGTCTTGAGAGTGTTTGACTAAGGGCCCTTGAAGAGAAATTCATTTAAGAGAGCCAAAAATAATAAAAGCGATATGTCCAAATATATGAGCCCAGACCCTGCTGAATATTTCCTTAATGATGCTGAAAGGGTTTCTGTTTCACTTCCTGCTAAAACTGTGGGGTAGAGTTTTCACTTTTCCATATGAATCTGCCACATTTACTTGACATTTTTAGGTTATAACATTCAAATACTCAAATATTGTCTCTTTGTGACTTTGCAGTCAGCATTGTTTTTAAATCATGCTTTCTGCTTATAAGCTTTGTGCTATGACCAACGTAATTTGAAGAAGTTTGCGTCATCACAGCAAATGCATTTTTATTTTGCCATTGCAATGCAAGCAATGAAAGAAAATGCTTTAGGAAGATGTCATTTGTTTGATTTTCCCAACGGGCATCATGTTGAGTTTGGCAGTATTGAGTAATCTGCTGTGGGTGTGTGAACAAACGGTGTGAGTTTGCTCGAAACACTTGTTCTGTGTTGTATCATATTCATATCACTTTGTCACGAATACTTACTAAGTAATGTGCTGATGCTTTTAAAGACACAGTCTGCAATTAATTCGAGTATTAGTGCAAGTCCTAAGCCAACAGCAAAAGCCTCTGAACAATGGCAGTGTCACTATGATGAAGCTTTCTTTACTTGTAACTTGGTACACAAATCAGTACATGATCCCAGTGATCGATTCTTTAAGAATCACACCTTTTAAGGTTAAAATTAATCCTAGAATGTCCTTAATATACTTTCTTGGCTATATTATTAATGATTCATCAGTGTATGTTATTTTAAAGAATACTGCTCCGTTAAAATTTACACAAAAATGAATATTTGCTGAAAATGTACTCGCCCTCAGGCCATCCAAAATATAAATGAGATTGTTTCTTTATTGGAATGGATTTGGAGAAATGTAGCATTGCATCACTTGCTCAGCAATGGACGCTCTGCAGTGAATGGGTGCCGTCAGAATGAGAGTCAAAACAGCTGATAAAAACATCACAGTAATCCACAGCACTCCAGTCCATCAATTAACGTCTTGTGAAGCGAAAAGCTGTGTGTTTGTGATTGAAAACCAATCCATCAAGACGTTTTTAACATCAAACCGTTGCTTCTGGACAAAATATCAGTCCATAATGCATGATAATGCTTCCTCCAGTGTAAAAGTCCATCGCCTCTCACATCAAAATCCACCACATATTTGTTTAGAACTTGTTTTAGACTGTTTTCTCTTGTAAACAGTGCTTGACCTGTGCATATTTTTCTCCTGATCCAGATGAGATTTTTTCAGAAAGCATCATTATAGATATAGGACTCATATATATTAGCCAGAAGCAATGGTTCAAAGTTAAAAACACCTTAATAATGGATGTTTCTTACAAACACACAGCTTATTAATGATAATTGATGGAATGGAGTGTTGTTGATTATTGTGATGTTTTTATCAGCTGTTTGGACTCTCATTCTGACGGCACCCATTCACTGCAGAGCATCCGTTGGTGAGCAAGTGATAAAATGCTACATTTCTCCAAATCTGTTCCAATAAAGAAACAAACTCATCTACATCTTGGATGAGAAACTATGAAGTCCCAACATTTTGCTTTTTTAATATCCTTGAGTATTTTCTTGAACATGCTGTTTTGCTCTTAAATATGTCACTTTATGGAAGTTAAATGGGTTGTTAATGTCGTTTCTTAACTGATGTATTGCACCGAGTTTTAATTTAATTTATGTCATCATCTTGGATTAGATCCGCATTTCTAATCAATAAATAATCATGGGAGGTCAGATCTAATCTACGCAGTATAGTTTGCCAATTTATTTCAGCCACCTCACTCTCATTCAGCTGCATATGAGCCGAGAGCCTTCAGTGAGAAATTGCAAATTTTTGTGAACCACCAAGCAGCCATAGTGTGATTTTTAAAGGATGTTACCTTTGTGCAGTTTGTGTTTCCTTGTCAAACACTGCGACCTTCAGATCCTGCTGCATCTTTTTTCCCCCAAAACTTTGAGTCATTGTCTGTCATTGTCTTCATCTTTGAATCTCTCATCAACAAGTAATTCCAGTTAAATATGCAATCCTGAAAAGATCCATTTGGTTTGTTCTCAGCCTCGAATCGGTCACATAAAAGTCACGGAACAATGCATGATGTAAAAATAAAGCATCATTAATCAAGCGTGACTGTGTGTGTGTGTGTGTGTGTGTGTGTGTGTGTGTGTTTCAGAATGGCAGAACCTCGATTTAATAATCCATACTTCTGGCCTCCTCCACCTTCTATTCCTGGTCAGGTAAGAAAAACAAACATGTACCAATGGGCAGACTTCATTAATCCTTGTCTTTTATCTAATAGTATAGTAACAGAATCAATAATTTACTTCAGTTCAGCACTAGGCTTAATCTTTGTGTAGACAATTAAGTCTTTATTGTTTACTAGTTGTCTTAAGTAGCAGATAAGGGCACCAACATGCTAAAGTTTAGAGTGTAACATAAAGTAAACATAAGAATAACTTTAATATTGTTAATAATATTTCAAGATGAGCACTTAATAGACTGAAGGAACTTAGGTTTACTTGATTATCCATACATCATTTTTTTTGACAAATCGTGTTCAAATGAGTATCAAATCGGATCATCAGGCTTTTGAGGAATGTTTATTTGTTCATCTCTCAATCAACATTGTATTGCATTGCATTATATGTTCAGAAACTACAGAGCTTTGATCATAAAACTAAGCATTTAAATTTCATATTATTGGAGATATAGTGTGACAACTGATATTTATATCATTTTATTTAAGTAGTATGTTATACTGTTATAAATGTCTCATTGATTTACATTACAAGCTATCAGAATTTCATCTTACTTTTTTGTCCATATTAATACCAGCAACTGAAACAAATAGCATATTTTTGCTCAGTTTGAGCCTCTGAAAACTTGTTTTTCCTCCTTGAGCGTGAGCTCCATATTCTCACTATATCATACTATGTGAGCCATAAAAACCTAATGCATCTAATATGATAAAACAAACAAAACAAAAAACATATGCTATTTTAAAAAAATAAATATTTCATCTAAAAAGGTTCCATTTCACATAATCCGATTTCTCTGACTTGTTTCACATGTCAGGCTTTACAGGATTAAACGCATGTTCTTGTCCTCATGTCAGAAGTTCAGACCCAGGAGGATTTGAACCATTAAAAAATAAATATTTCATCTAAAAAGGTTCCATTTCACATAATCCGATTTCTCTGACTTGTTTCACATGTCAGGCTTTACAGGATTAAATGCATGTTCTTGTCCTCATGTCAGAAGTTCAGACCCAGGAGGATTTGAACCATCTGCTTGTTCTAATCTCACTTTCCCCCCTTTTTTCCCCAGTTGGATAACCTCATGCTGATCAACAAGATCAAAGAACAGCTCATGGCGGAGAAAATCAGACCTCCACACCTGCCGCCCACTTCTGTCCCTTCCCAGCAGCCCTTACTGCTCGGACAGCCCATGGTGACAGAAGGTGGGCAGCACAATATATCGACGCCCAAGCTGCAGCAGATGCCGGGACTCCACGCTCACAGCACCACCCAGGCCGACATCGCCCTACACGCACGACCCGCCTCCAGCACCGTCGCAGGTACATTCTCCATTGCATAGCACAAATCTGCTTACTGAGACACACGCTTAATGCTAATTGTGCACATAATGTGGGCAGGTCGTATTCTGGGTGACGTAAACTTGAATCTGGACGATAAAACAGCTATTAAAGCAAGAGGATTGTGGGAAGACTGGCATTTGCGGCAAATCATAGACCAGCCATCCAGAGCGAATCATCTGTCAGGTATGTGAATGCAAACTGCTGTTATTGTTTTGTGCAATTGTGTTTTTACTGCACGTTAAAGGAACAGTTCATCCATGAATGAAAATCTGCTGAAAATTTACTCACCCGCCTCAGGCCATCCAAGATGTAGATGAGTTCTAGATTTGGAGAAATGTAGCATCACTTGCTCACTAATGGATCCTCTGCAGTGAATGGGTGCCGTCAGAATGAGAGTCCAAACAGCTGATAAAAACATTACAATAATCCACAAGTAATCCACACCACTCCAGTCCATCAGTTAATGTCTTGTGAAGCCAAAAGCTGCATGTTTGTAAGAAACAAATCCATCATTAAGATGTTTTAACTATAGACTGTTGCTTCTGGTCAAATTATGAGTCCATAATCCATAATAAAGCTTCCTCCAGTGGAAAAGTTGTCTCATCTGAAAGAGGACAGAAATATGCACAGATCAAGCACCGTTTACAAGCAAACCATTAGTGTGGATTATTGTGATGTTTTAATCAGCTTTTTGAACTCTCATTCTGACGGCACCCATTCACTGCAGAGGATCCACTGGTGAGCAAGTGATGCAATGCTACATTTCTCCAAATCTGTTCCCATGAAGAAACAATCTCATCTAGTATACATTTTCATTTTTGGGTGAACTTTTCCTTAAAGAAATGTTCATTTTCAGGACTGTCACTGACGTCTTCTCGAATTGCCAACCACAACACATCAGAGAGCGTGACGCCGACCACCCTGACCACTCCAACCACCAGCAGTCAGACACGTCAGAGCGGCGCACCTTCCCCAAACCTCATCTCAGCACTCTCCTGTGGGCCGGGGATGGACGTAATCAAAAACAGCGGAGGACTGGCAGGACTGCTGACTGCTGGGTCGAAGAGCATAGGACGAGGTCGCAAAAAGATCAAAGCTGAAAACCCCTCTGGGCCGCTCTTAGTCGTTCCCTACCCATTCCTGGCCTCTGGAGCTGACCAATCAACTGTTAATTATTACTAAATTACTGTTTGTATATAAATATAGTGTGATTTGAGCATGAGCATCTTGCAACACCTAAGACACCTAAGTC